GATCCAATGTGGAATTTAGCTGAAAAATCCTTGAAATCCTTGAAACTGTTAAAATACTTTAAACATCTTTGAAACTCCTGAAGTATTTGAAGCTCCTGATATCCTTTAAACTGTTATCCTTTATACTGGTTTACATGTAAAAACCCCTATTAAGTTGCATTATACTGGTTTACATGGAAAAATCCCCATTAAGTTGCATTATACTGGTTTACATGTAAAAAACCCTATTAAGTTGCATTATACTGGTTTACATGGAAAAATCCCTATTAAGTTGCATTATACTGGTTTACATGTAAAAATCCCTATTAAGTTGCATTATACTGGTTTACATGTAAAAACCCCTATTAAGTTCCATTATACTGGTTTACATGTAAAAACCCCTATTAAGTTCCATTATACTGGTTTACATGTAAAAAACCCTATTAAGTTCCATTATACTGGTTTACATGTAAAAAACCCCTATTAAGTTGCATTATACTGGTTTACATGTAAAAACCCCTATTAAGTTGCATTATACTGGTTTACATGGAAAAATCCCCATTAAGTTGCATTATACTGGTTTACATGAAAAAAACCCTATTAAGTTGCATTATACTGGTTTACATGGAAAAATCCCTATTAAGTTGCATTATACTGGTTTACATGGAAAAATCCCTATTAAGTTGCATTATACTGGTTTACATGGAAAAAACCCTATTAAGTTGCATTATACTGGTTTACATGGAAAAAACCCTATTAAGTTGCATTATACTGGTTTACATGGAAAAATCCCCATTAAGTTGCATTATACTGGTTTACATGTAAAAAAACCCTATTAAGTTGCATTGTACTGGTTTACATGGAAAAATCCCTATTAAGTTGCATTATACTGGTTTACATGGAAAAATCCCTATTAAGTTGCATTATACTGGTTTACATGGAAAAAACCCTATTAAGTTGCATTATACTGGTTTACATGTAAAAACCCCTATTAAGTTGCATTATACTGGTTTACATGGAAAAATCCCTATTAAGTTGCATTATACTGGTTTACATGAAAAAAACCCTATTAAGTTGCATTATACTGGTTTACATGGAAAAATCCCCATTAAGTTGCATTGTACTGGTTTACATGGAAAAATCCCTATTAAGTTGCATTATACTGGTTTACATGGAAAAATCCCTATTAAGTTGCATTATACTGGTTTACATGGAAAAATCCCTATTAAGTTGCATTATACTGGTTTACATGGAAAAAACCCTATTAAGTTGCATGATTACACTGAAGTCCTTGAAACTGCTGAAGTCCTTGAAACTGTTGAAGTCCTTGAAACTGTTGAAGTCCTTGAAACTGTTGAAGTCCTTGAAACTGTTGAAGTCCTTGAAACTCTTGAAATCTTGAAACTGCTGAAATCCTTGAAACTGTTGAATCCTTGAAACTGTTGAATCCTTGAAACTGTTGAATCATTGAAACTGTAGAAATGTCTGAAAGAGCTGAAGTCCTATTAAAATGCATGGGCCTATTAAAATGCATTGCAGAATTCTCAATGCAGATTTTTGTCCGATTGCGGAAAAACCGGAAATCGCTGAAGTCCCAAAAGTAATAGCAATAATCTCCCAAACATGTGGAACGTTTTGATGTATAACTTGTGGAAATTGTTGAAAATGTGAAAGCTGTGAAACGTGTCAAAAAAAATGACGGAATAAAGAAATACAAAACCAATGGTTGACTGCGGAAGGTTCCGCAGTCAATCAATTATTGTTGGACAAATACTTACTGGTCATAACAGCACAGTGCCTCATGGTCAGCAATATGTTATTTCCAAAATGTGAATACTTATGAAGTTACGAACATGACCTTTAAACCTGCTATTACAGAATCCGTTCACCATTTGCTCACTGAACATACAGCACTTACAAACATTCCACATTTCCTGAAGTGGGAGGTGTATGTGGTCAGAGGACTTTTACCAAATCCCTCTTGTTATTATGTTGTGGTGTGAAAGGAACAGAGTCAGAGGCGGAGAGTCAAACAGCGGTGATAATTGTAGCCGTTTTAATGTCATTAAAAGTCAGTATTAAAACTACAACAAAGCGGTTAGCGACTCATTGCTATTCTTCACACGACAATCTCAAAATAAAAAATGCGTATTTTATTATATACGCATTGACCCTCTTAAGCTATTAGAACTATCTAAGATGCATTTATTTTCATTTTTTTTATTTCAATATTGCTTTAAGACAGTCATAATCCACACTAATTAAGATAAGCACTCAATCTAATTAATACGTTTCATATGTTTTCATTTTCTCCACTGTACTGTTTTGCATGGGCGCTGCAACCCTGGAAATTCCCCACGCTGGGACAAACAGATGTTTTCTCATCTTATCTATGTCCTCCATGTAATCTAAGGGTCATATATTTTGATTCTCTTCACATTTCTGTCTGTTTTGGCCGGCAGACATTAGTACATGCTTTATTTAGCAAAAGAATATTATTGGACGCAATGACCCCATAACTTAAGACAAGAATTTCCTTTAGTCTGATTTGCGGAGGCCATGAGCTGACTTCCTAATGCCACGGCGAAGAGTCCCTTGCTGAATCACACTGTAGGCTACGAGAGGCGTAATGGAGAATTTTAATGAGCACTGCATGCCCTAGGATTATTCGCGGTGCTCTGGAAACACGTCGGCGTGCTCTTGAAAATCACATTACGTCGGCAGTCAGTCGAAGAAACAAAAAGAGATTTAAAGTATTTTTTTTTACCCGCAAATTCTCTAATGTTGCAAATGGCTTGTGAATACATGGGGGGAAAGATTGCCACGGTGCTGATTTCCAATTTGCACCACAAAGCTCCACAAAAAGCGGTTATTATTTTGTAACAGTCCAAAATGCATAAATGTTGATTACAATTTAATGAATGTCTGCTCTTTGTGACTCACTCTAAGCTCCTCAGTCATACATTAGCTCCCACAATTATGTTTTTCATTGGGATTTTGCTGTTCAGTTATTGCTCCTCGCGTGTGGGTAAAGCTTTAGTCAGTCAGTTATTAAATTAAAGGCCTCCACAATACGTGACGTCATGTTTGTTTTGTAGCTGCGAGAGTTATTTGTCTGTCTGGAAGAAGCCCATAACTGTGAATTTATTTACTTATGGGTCTTTCTCTGCGGTCACAGCGTTTCAATCGGGTTTTTTGACGTTTTTTCCCGGCCGCTGAACGAAATTTAAATGCAGAATATTGGCAAACCGCAAAAGGGAATTGGGGATTTGGTCATAAAACACCAAAATCTTATTGCTATTTCTCATCATCCTTTGGAGTAATGTAAGCAGTGAAGAGATATGAGTGTGTGTTTTTAGGACTTTATGGAAATGGTAATCTTGTGCACATGGGAGGGGAATGGAAGGTCTCTGGGCTACATTTTTTTGCCTTTATATATCCCAGTGCAATTATACTCATGGTGATTCTTGTTGTCTCGGGCTCTCTGTGCTGGGGTTTGTGTGTTCCCACTTGGACACAGAGACACAGCACACTCTGCTGGAGCCAAAGGAAACGCAGAGAAAACTATTCACACAAGTTTGATTCTGATTTTAATGTCGTGTGTGACTGTCTGTATCTTGAGGTCCAGTCTGCCTGAAAATGTAAGACAGGCTTCTACTCTGACAATGTTCTAATCCAAGTTAAATAAAATTATTTTTAGCTGTGCATACAACTGACTAAATGTATCTTCACTCTTCTTAACTTATTGACTGCCAGCCGTTTTTTATTTTTTTTATCAGCATACACAATATGATAATAATAATAATAATTATAGATCGGTTTTCTATAGCGCTTTTTTGGACACTCAAAGACGCTTCACATGTGTCATTATTCATTCACACGGTGGTGATAAACTACCATTGTAGCCACAGCTGCCCTGGGGCACACTGACAGAAGCTAGGCAACCAGTATGCGCCATCGGCCCCTCCGACCACCACCAACCATTCACACACACACCAGACACATTCTAGGCAATGTGGGTAAAGTGTCTTGCCTAAGGACACAACGGCAGTTTGGCACTTTACAGCCGCAGCTGCCCCACTGTGGCAGGTGTTCCCAGAGGTTAAGTGTCTTGCCAAGGACACAGTCGATGGTGAAGGTCGGGCTTGAACCCACGACCCTCTGGCTCAAAGGCCAATGCTCTACCAACTGAGCTACTGTCGTCTGAGACAGAAATCACCAGTCTCAGACATTTACGTCAATGGCAGTCAATGAGTTAATGTACTATGATTATTTCCATCCATCCATCCATCCATCCATTTTCTTCCCCTTAATCCATTTCTGGGTCGGGGGGGTTGCAGTCAGAGCTGCACCCAGTCCACTTAGCACCAGCCCCTCACTGATCCTCCTGCAGGTGGTGAGTCCACAGGAGCTGAGATCTTTCAGTGGGGGCTTCAGGCAAAGTGGAGTTAAGTGTCTTGCCCAATGACACAACGACAGCAGTCATCAGTGGGAGTCGTGAAGTAGGTCTTGTGGTGGGCTCGAACCCACGACCTTCAGGCTCAAAGGCCAATGCTCTACCAACTGAGCCACTGTCGCCCCATGATGATGGGCCCTATGATTATTTATGATTCTAATGTTTCCTTTTTTGTTTTAAGTGAAGCACTTGTGTATAAACTGTGCTATACATATAAACTTGCCTTGTATATCTTTTACTGTGTTGCAATGTTACACAGATTTCAATCAATCCACTTTTATTTGTATAGTGCCTTTCCTACACAAGGCAACACAAAGCGCCTCACAACCCACATAATAGCAAGCAAATCATAAACATTAAAATCTACATATACATAAAAAAAACCCGCAAGAAATATTAAAAACAGAATAAAATTACAAGTATTTAAAACCCTTAAAACATTAAAAAGTGATTTCAGTGTGTTATTCATGTGGATTCTGGCGTCATGTGGCATTTTACATCGAACTATGAAGTGTTTCCGTTTTTATCTGTGACAAAAACAATGAACTGAATGTGGGATCTTCAGGTCTGTGTGACTGCGCTGATTACACCACGGGGCCGACCTGCGAGCTGTGCCTGGACGGTTACTACGGCAACGCTCTGATTGGCACTCCAGGCGACTGCCGTCCTTGCCCTTGCCCGGACCACACCAGCTGCGCTCAGATTGCCGGGACGGGACAGGTGGTCTGCACCAACTGCCCTGCAGGACAGACAGGTGAGGCACAGAAACGTCAAATTATTATCAAGACGCTGGTCTGCTCTAAACACAGTCATGGTACTGGAAGAGAATCACCAGTGCCTCGGATATTTGTATTTACAACCATCTTACAGTTCAGTCATTTTGTAGGTAAAACACAATCTGTTTTATATATTTGCATGCATCCACACATCACCCCTATTTACACACATAGCTTTTGTTGAATGCCTCTACACACACACACACACACACACACACATATATATACATTGTTAGCACCCATTGTGATATACTGTACATACTTCTGAAGCAAGAGCAATTATAGCTCCAGAGTTTTTTTTGTTTTTTTCTATTTTGCTTACTAGTTTAAATTATATTATCTATTATCTTAAATAATACAGACAGTTTGATGTGTGCAATCTGAGTGCTCTTTTTCCCTTCTTTTCTCTGCTCTAATGTGCACAACAATGACACTGACATTTCCCCACTGTGGTATGTGGCTTATAACATGTATTACAATAGAAATAAAAAACTAAATATTCAAATAAACAAAATATCTAAATAAATAAATAAACCCTTTGATGGTTTCCTCTACTATTTGGTACTATCTACTTGAAGCTTGGAAATGAAATATTCCTCACTTGGTTTTAGTCACTGTTACCATCAAACTGCATTGCAACCATTTGGTAAAGAAAAACAAGAAAAACAAATTAGTGTCCTACATCTTACAAAATCCAAAAGGGTTAAAACAATTAGAATAATATCTATTAATAACAAGATCCAAAGTGTTACTTACATTTCAAATCAAGTCAATTTATTTTTCACAACTTCACAATTTCCTGCCAAACTGTGAAATCTTGGTGACAGTGTGAAAAAATAATAAGTCACACAGTCACACCCTTTTATAAAAGCTTTGATTCAACTTTGTTTTCCTTTCAATGTTCAGAACAATGTAAAGAAATACAGCACCTTTCCAGAAGTGCAACCTCACAGGCATCAGATAATACCACACAGATATTTATATAGACTAGTTGGTTCATGCTAGTACAGTATATACAATAATATGTTAAGTGAGTAAGAAAAGTTTATTTGTGTAGCGCCTTTCACCGACCAGAATCACAAATGGCTTCATATTTAAACATTAAACTGCTACATTAAAGTGAATCTAATGTGATTTAACAGAGTGAGAGTTCGAGATTGTGACTGATCTGCGATAAAACTGTCGCTTATGGTCAAAAAGACTTAACTACGCTGTAAAAAATGATAAAATATGAGGTTATAATTGCTTGAATTGAGTAGTTTTTAATCTTCATTTGAGCACATTCTGACTTAAAACAAGATTTGAAAGCTCTGTTGCAACATCTGTTGCTTTATTTTATCATTCCAAGATCATTTTGCTTTGTCCTATTGGCAAATCTAGTTTTATGGCAGTCAGAATGTGCTCAAATTAAGACACATTTTGCTACTTTTAAGAATTTTTTTTACTTATTTTCCATTATATTTTTGCAGTGTAGTTTTTCACTGTACATATAAAACCTCTCTGTTTGAGCACCTGGTCTTGTAGGTCTTGTTCCAGACCCCTGCACCACGCAGCGCACATTACTTTTCTATAATGATGACGCACAGTGACTTTTTACTCTCCACCGGATGTGATGGAAAGCTTTGGACACCTGCCGACTTTTCTTCAACCCTTGATCAGAAATGGCAAAAGAGTGGACAAAAGATGTAGTCTTAGCTGCAGAAGGATACATATACTATATAAATGTCAAGTTGAAATCTTCTACACTCTTTTGGTGTATGTGCTAATGTGAAAATATAAAATGCATTTCCCAATTTAACTAAGAACTAATGGATCCATGGCCCTAAATCACAGCAGTCGTCTCGAAGGAGTTTACAATACAACACACAGGAGTCATTGGTCTGTAGGGAGTGTCCATAAATGTTCATAAATGTTCATAAATGTTCATAAATGTCACGGATCATCACTGTCCTTAGACCCTCCTGCATCGGCAAGAAGCCTCTCAAACAACCCAGTGGGAAAAAGGCTAAAGATCCATCACTGATTTCTATGTGATAATTGTCAGAACTAGTCACATTTCAGAAATTAAGGATGACTTTAGAAAATAAATTATATAAAGATACAGAAAAAGTCACAAACTTATGAAGACCAAGAATGTACATGAGATGAGTGATTACACTTCCAGAACTAAAAGCTGTCAAATTGACTGCTCCCATTGAAATCTGGGAATTCTGAGAAATTCCCCCGAAGAATGTTCACTAGACGTATTCAAATAAAGTAATTTCTAATGTTTTTACCTTTACTCCCCTTTAATACATGTTAAAACTGGTCATTATAAATTAAATACAGCAACAACAAAAAAAGGCTAAAGCCATATTCTGACAGTGAACTCTCTTAATCTTAATCTTAAACAGTTTGTTGCTATGGTTACCACCAATTCCTCACATTTCATAAATAAAAGATTATTTCATACATTAAATAAGGACAAAGATTTAAACTAGACATAGAGACAGGAAAAGTCACAAAGTTATGAAGACCAAGAATGCACATTGATATGAATAATTACAGTAATTACCAAAACTAAAAGCCGTCAAAATGAGTATTAAAAAAAAAGTGGGATGATACGTAGGGAGTGACAAACCTGTACATTTATTATTGCGGTGAAATATGGAACATAAATCGATAACTATTGCTGTTTTTTGTTTGCATCAACAAGACGATGATGATGATGGTAAAAAAAATCAGGAAAGTCATGTGAAAATCTTTGGATAATCAGTTTTCAGCCGCTCAAATGTAGAATTGAAAATGGATAAGGCACAAAATCTTCTTGCTTCGGCCTTCTCCTTTTTGTACCTGTAAAAACACATGGAAATAAACTACTACTCCAACACTAACTAAGTCCCTCTCCTCCTCCATCGCACAGGAACCCGCTGCCAGATGTGTGAAGACGGTTTCCATGGCGACCCCCTTGGACATTCCGGCCACGTTCGGCCCTGCGTCAGATGCGAGTGCAACGATAACGTGGACGTCAACGCGCTCGGCATCTGCGACCACGGCTCGGGGAGGTGCCTCAAGTGTCTGGGCCACACCGAGGGCGACCACTGCCACCGGTGTCGCCAGGGTTACTATGGCGACGCGCTAAATCGGACTCTGGACAAAAAGTGCAGACGTACGTATGTCGCCAGGTGGATTGTTTTGATCTTGGTTAAGCAGTTGTTTTAATTCCTTTGCTTTTCCTCCTGATTTTATTTTATTATTTTTTTTTTTTTTATTATTATCTTAACCCTGGATTCTGCACTGCAAAAAGTGATGAAAAATAAGTTTTAAAAAATTTGGCTAAATGTAGCTAAAATTGCATACATTTTGACTGCTTTAAAACAAGATTTGCCAATGGGACAAGCAAAATTATCTTGTTTTTTGGAATGAGAATAAATCAAACATTTCTTTAAATACGACTAAATGTTTTTGTCCCGTTGGTAAATCTTCAGACTGTCAGAATGTACTCAAAATAAGATAAATAACACTTGATTTAAGCTGTTATTACCTCGTATTTTATCCCTTTTTTATTTATTTTTTCACTGAACAACTTGTATTTACAGTTGTGCATTTTGGGTCCCTTTTTTGTCTCAATAATCATAATAATAATAATACATTTTATTCATATGCCTAAAAGCAGATACTTCCCTTTCCACACACACTTCCTTCAGCTCATCTGGGGCGAATCCTAAAGCGTTCCAGCTGCCACCACCAAAGAAACGAATCTTCATGTATGGCCACGAACTGTAGCGTTATCACAAGAAGCTGCAGTGACAGTAAAACTTGAGGCTAATACATAAACGTCTTATCGCAAAAAGCTATTTATTTGCGTAAAGTCATGCATGAGTTTTATACAGCACTTTTCAGAACACTCAAAGACGCTTCACATGGCATTATCAATCAATCTTTATTTATAGGGCGCTTTTCCTGCACAGGGCAACACAAAGCGCCTCACAGTCCACACCCACAATGCACAAATCATCACCATTAAAATACAATTAAAAACACATATGTAATTAAAAAGCATTAAAATCACACAAGTAATTTAAAAACATAAGAATCACACAAGTAATTAAAAACAATAAAATAGTTAAAAACACAAAAAGTTACAACAATAAATAACAAGGTGTGTTAAAAAGATAAAATTCTTTAGTTGTATGCACAGGAAAAAAGAAAAGTCTTTAACATGGATTTGAACATCGACAGAGAGGCAGCCAGTCTCACATCCTCAGGAAGACTGTTCCAGACTTTAGCTGCATAAATCTGAAAAGCAGCCTCCCCCTGTCTAGTCCTGACTCTGGGCACTAACAGGAGTCCCGTCCCTGCGCTCCTCAGAGTCTGGGCTGGTTCATATGGGACTAGCATATCATGGATGTACTTTGGTGCAAGGCCATGGAGAGACTTGTACACCAGGAGAGCTGCTTTAAAGTCTATCCTCTGGGCCACGGGAAGCCAGTGCAGAGACCTGAGGACCGGACTAATGTGGTTGTACTTCCTGGTTCTAGTCAGGACTCGGGCTGCAGCATTTTTTTTACAGCCTGTTTGGACAGACCTGTGAGCAGGCCATTGCAGTAATCCAGCCTACTGGAAACAAAAGAATGGATAAGAATCTCCAAGTCTGCTTTGGACACAATATTTTTAATTTTGGCAATATTTTTCAGATGGTAAAAAGCTGCTGATGTTACCGATCCAATGTGGCTATTGAAGTTTAAGTCAGAGTCCATTATTACTCCCAGATTTCTGACCTTATTTAAAGGCCTTAGGGAGAAAGACTGAAGGTGATAAATGACGGTCTCTCTTTGTTTCTCAGGACCAAAGACAATTATTTCGGTTTTGTCTGCATTTAGCTGGAGAAAATTGTATTGCATCCAGTCACTGATCTGTTGGATACAGTGAAGGAGTGAGTCCACTGGTCCATGTTCTCCTGCAGTCAGTGAGACATAGATCTGAGTGTCATCAGCGTAATTGTGGTAGGACACTTTCATACTTTGAATTAACTGACCTAATGGCAGCATGTAAATATTGAACAGGAGAGGTCCCAGAATCGACCCCTGTGGCACTCCGCAGGTCAGGGCCATATTATCTGAGACATAGTCTCCAATCTCCACACAATACTTCCTTTCTTCTAGATAGGACCTAAACCAGCTTAGGGCGGTACCAGCAACACCAACCCAGTCCTCCAGTCTCTGCATGAGAATCTCATTATTCATTCACTCCATACACGGTGTTGATGAACTGCCATTGTAGCCACAGCTGCCTTGGGGCACACAAGCAGTATTTTTCATCTACCCCTCCGACCACCACCAACCCTCCACACATACAGTACACCAGAGTCAGACTCATACTGGGCAGTGTGGGTGAAGTGTTTTGCCGAAGGACTAAGGATTACCCAAATAAAACTATAATCTAATATGTCAATGTCAATGTCAGCATTATTTGTTTAGCATATCAAAAGTTATGAAAAAGAAGTCAAAAAATTCTAAAATTTGGCAAAATGTATCTCAATTTTATCACTATTTGACCGCCTTAAAACAAGATATACCAATGAGACAAGCAAAAGTATCTTGTTTTTTAAAAAAGATATGTTTTTTAAATCTGGTTTTAAGACAGTCACAATGTACTCAGATGAAGATGAAAAGCATACGTTACCTCATATTTTATCACTTTTTATCACTTTTTGCATTGAACAACATTTTGGGTACAGGAGGTATCTCGGAGGACATTACAGAAAAGAAAAACAGTATTAATTACACACAAATACATGAAAAAAGGCCAAACAATCAAAAAATAACTTGGTGGTCAAAGCCAAGGCATATGAATATAGATTTTAAAACCTCCTAAACTATAAACGAATTGTTATTCCAAAGACACTTTAGATTAGATTCCCCCACTGTGCGACGAACGAAGGATCTCCTAATCTTAATCTTAAAATATCCTTACCAGAACTCTAATTTATCTTGTTTACAAAAGCACGTAGATGGCTTAGTTTGAGACGCTCCTGGTTCTCAGCAAAAAAACATTTATTTGTTTATGTAAAGCCACCCAACAAGCTTTAAGGACGGATCTGTGAAGCATGTCTTGGTCCAGAGTTGGTCCGGTTAAAGTGAAAAAGAAACCAAAAAGTGTGAACGTATCCTGACTTGCCCTGTGAATTATGGACAGGGCAAGTGCTGGGATCTGTATTTCCAAGTCATTCATTTTCCATGCAAGATCTTGTGATTTCTAGTATTTAAAAAACATCTAAGTGATTAAGTTTTTTTCCTTACTTTTGATAAAGGCTAAAACTGCTAAATATACAGTAGCTTCAAACACTAATATTAGGCTAATGCTAACGTCCAAGCGCTAACGGACAGTGTGTTGCTATGGTAACTAGCACTTGATTTTCCAAGACTTCAGAAAATTCTCTTCTCCTTTCTCTTGTTTTCTAAAGCACATAGATGGCTTCGTATGAGACACTTCTGGTTCACAAGCAGCAAAAAAGGCTTTATTTGTGGATGTAACACCACCAAACACTTGGGCTACTACTATTAGGCTAATGCTAACGACCAAACACTAACGGACAGTGTGTTGCTATGGTAACTCGCACTGTCTTTTCCCCGGTGGAAAATTGAGCTGAACCAGAACCAGTCCATGAACAGAGAAAAAGGCCATTAAAAGGGTTAGGGTTTCTCTTTTCAGAACGAAAGCGACCGGAAATGTCTTAAAATATCCTTTCCAAGACTTGGAAAATGATCTTGTTTTCTAAAGCATGTAGAAGGCTTTGTTTGAGACACTTCTGGTTCTCTAGCAGCAAACAAGGTTTTATTTGTGGATGTAAACCCACCAAACAATTGGACATCTCGTCTTTTAAAGGTGCAGTAAACGATGTTGTTAGCTTAGCCGTAGCACCAACTGGAAAACAACCCGCCTTCGCTTCTACACCGAGCCAAACATCCAGCATTTTCTTTTCTTTGTCACAACAGGGAGAGTGGGCGGCAAACGTGAAATTGGCATTTTCAGTTCAGCCCTTTAAGGTTTTAGAAAATCCGATAACTCTGGTGCACTCGCGAGAAACAGGAAGAGGGTGAAGGAGGGTAAACGCATCCCATTGGTTCGCTGATGATGAACGAATCCCATTGGTTGATTTTTATCGGTCCGCACCAAAATATTTTTTATTCATTTTTGTAGACTATAGGCATCTGGTCAATTCCATTACTCTTTGAAAACACATGACTTGACTACGTTTAGGGTTTAGGGACGTTTTCCCACAATATTTAAAAAAATGCGTCTTAAAAAATCCCTGACTGCATCTTTAAGTCAACTTACATCTTTTGCAACAGAAACAGTGAATTGTAAACCTATCCTGACTTGCCCCGTGTATGAATCATGTAAACTCACCATGCCTTGTACAGCATGTGCTTTGATCTGAATATCCAAGTCATTAAATTTGCATGTAAGATCTTGTGATTACTAGTATTTAAAAACATCTAAGCGATTAAGTGTGTCTGCATTTGACAGCTTCCATTAAAAATATCCGATCTGGGTAATTAATTCACAACTTTAAATATAACAGCATGTGTGAGTCATACACTGAGCTGAGAAGGCTCACAAAGCACTCATTAGAAAGTAACCCAGAATCGTAAATTTGTCAAATTAAAAAGCAAACATTCTTTAACCTATAATTAATATTTTGATTTGGTGACAGCTCTTTCTCTGGGACAAGCCATTGGTGACAGTGTGATAATTAGGGGCCGTGTGTGTGTGTGTGTGTGTGTGTGTGTGTGTGTGCGTAGCCTGCAGGTGCAATCCTGACGGAACGTTTGGAGTGGTTAATGAATGCCACCCACAGACGGGAGACTGTCTCTGCCTCAGTCATGTGACCGGCCGTGACTGCAGCGACTGTGAAGAGGGATACTTCAATCTGCAGCCGGGTTTGGGATGCGAAAGGTAAACATGATCTAATGCGCTGAAGGAACGAGGCACCGGACCAGCATGAATACTGAGAACATGGGTTTTTATCGTCTAATGAAAGAATATGTGGTAATAATTGCTTGAATCGAGTGGTTTTTATCTTAATTTGAGTGCATTCTGACTTAGACTTGGACAGAGTTTATTGATCCACAGGGGAAATTGCGTTGTCACAGTAGCTTGCACAGTATCTCACATTAAAAATACCATTTCAGTAACACTCTGAGAATAAGAATAATAATCAGATAATATTGTAAGAATGGAATAAGAGTGGATAGCTCTCTCACCTCTCAGCAAAAAAGTCCTGGGTTCGAATCCCGGTCAGAACAGGGTCTTTCTCAGTGGAGTTTGCATGTTCTCCCTGTGCTTGCGTTGGTTTCCTCCGGGTACTCCAATTTCCCCTACCACTAAAAGCATGCTCACTAGGTTAAATCCTCCAGCCCCGGTACTCCTGACCAAGCCGAGCATCAACATCTGGAGATGGGTACCCGGGCGCTGTTACTACGGCAACCACTGCTCCTGACGTGAGCCTCAGCGGCATCAGGATGGGTCAAATGCAGAGGATTTAATTGAAATGTAGACTTATTTCTCTTTTCTTTATTAAATATGAGGTAATAATTGCTTGAATCCAGTGGTTTGTATCTTAATATTAAACAAGATTTGCAAATGGAACAAGCAAATTTTATTGTATCTCAAGAACTGTTACTTTATTTTCTCATTCCACATTTCTTGTATCTTTTAAAAACAAGATAATTTTTCCTGTCTCATTGGCAAATCTTGTTTTAAGGAAGTCAAAATGTGCTCAAATTGAGATAAATTTTTCCAGATTTCAATCATTTTTTACCTATTTTTCATCAATATTAAATAGGATAATAAATACATCTTTGCGTTTATAGCACTTGTAAAAAACAGTGTTTACAAAGCCCTGCACAGTCAGCATAAAACAGTGAAAACAGTCAAAAACGGTCAATAAAACAGATCAAAATGAAATACAGCCAAATCAAGCAGACAGAAAGAAAGACAAAAGTGGAACAGTAAATTACAACATGTGAAGTTTAAATTTTAACATATAAGATTTTACGAAAGAGTTTTATGGAGTCATGGTAACCCACTTTTCTTCTGAATCATTTCGCCCTTTTTGTCTTTTAATTATAGGATTTTTTGTGTGTTTTTTAGATGCAAATGTAGCCCAATCGGCTCGTCGTCTCCTGCGTGCCACCCAGTCTCGGGCCGCTGTGCGTGTCGAGCCGGAGTGGAGGGGAGCCTGTGTGAGATTTGCCGTCCTGGATTTTTTGGATTCTCCTCACGCGGCTGCAGAGGTACACGAACGCTCGAGAAAAATTACAGCGGCTTTTTTCTATCTGAGAATTCTCCGCGGCGGCACCATACATAATGCAAACACACACACACAAAAAAACACCTTTTCGATGTCTCTCTCCGTGAACTACATTGTGCTCTCGTCCCCGCAGCTTGTAACTGTGACCCCATGGGCTCCCTGTCCATGCAGTGTCACGGCAACGGCACCTGCCCATGTCGACCCGGCTTTGTGGGGTACAAGTGCGACAAGTGCGGAATGAACTACTTCCTCGACAGGGTGACTCATCAGTGCGAAGAGTGCCCTGTTTGCTACGGTTTAATCAAAAAACAGGTACAGGAGATTATACAAGCAACACTACTGTACTGTGCAATTTTGAAAGAAAAAACAGCTGGAGACCATATTGAGACTATATTTTTAGACCATATTGTTGCAACTTATTTATTATGTACTTGTGACTGTGTGAATGAGAGCAGCCGGCACCACTGTAATGTCTTTTGGAATTAATAAAGTTTTTCCTATCCTATCCTTTCCATGGTTAGACCTAAGGGTTGGACTATAAAGCAGGCAAGTCCAAACTAGGGCTGCACAATATATCAAAAAAATATTGTTATCGCAATATTGGCGCATGCAATATCCATATAAAAAATATCCGCAATGATTGTTTTTTTTTGTTTTTTTTTAATGTATTAAAGACAACAAAACAGACAGACACATCAACATTCAACAAGAACAACAAACACAAAAGTATATAAATATATGCATTTGAATGTCATTAATGTTGTGCTTATTTTCTTTTATTTGTCTCTTGCGTTTCAATGCAGATTGGAATTTTAGGTGAAAGACAAAAATATCGCAATAATATTGTTATCGATATACTAAACACTCATATCGAATATCGCTCTAATTTCCAATATTGTGCAGCCCTAGTCCAAACTCAGGCCCTTCAGCTCAGCCAATACAGACCTTGTTCTAAAGTCCGCAGTACGTCTGAAATTCAGTTTTTGACTTCATTTGCCCAAACTTCTGTTTATGGTGTTAATGTAGCTGGTGAGATGGTAAACATTTGTCATTCAGCCAACTTCAGCTCTGTTATAGATCATCATAAAGCTCAGAACAGCCCGATGCCAGTCAAGACAGTTTTTCAGTCTGTGATGTCGGCCCCTGGATTAATCTGGTGAACTAAAGTGGCCCTCTTACTAAAATGTTTGGACGTCCCTGGACTAGAGGGTGAAAAAAGCGCTGAAAAAAAAAAATAGACAATCATGACTCAACAACAACAACTTGAGAGGTTAGACTCGAGGGTTCAGGAAAGAGAGTTAATGCCGTTATATTTAAGGTTTTATCCTTTTACAAACGCCATCTCAGTTTGTGCATATTTTTAGATTTATGAGTTACTTCCTGGTTGTGACACATAGTTGTATTATTTTCAAAGGACATTTTCGAAGGACCTCAATGTTAACTAAAAAAGACTTTTTTCAGCTGACAAGAAAACTGCAGCTGCCATAAAGGTCAGATTCTGTGGGAATTTAAGAATCCCTTGTCATCATGAGCTCTTTTTTTTCTTTTGAAATTCATCGGTTTTCTATAAATCCATACTTTTGTGCAACAGACTCTGCTCGCTTTCGTCCCGCTCTCGCACCGCTCTGATTGGTTGGAATGCTCACATGTCCCTCTTTACTCAAGCATAAGAGCAATGGGCCTCATTCACGAACGGTTCTTAAGAACAGATTTGTACGTAAATCCTACTTACAAGGTTTTTACGAAGAAAGTGGCATTCACGAATTTTTCTCGTAACCAGAATTTCTCTTGGGCAAGTACAAATCCTACGAGTCCTCAGGAGCACTCGTACGCATTCAGTACCGACATGTTCACACGCCGGGGTTGTCCTCTTTGGTGAAGTTTAATAAAAATACAACATTCCAGTGATATGTCCGTCATATTGATGTATGTATTTAATCTATTATTTCATTTTTGTGGTTACATATTATTTTTCATATTCATTTTCAAATTAAATGTGCCAACGCTTTTCAAAATACATTGGAAATCTTGCCGTGTATTAGTGACCCCTTCCTATTTATAGGGGGCATTTCTTTATCCACGGGCCACAGAACAACGGCATATATACTGCTGCTGCAGGAGGTTACGGGGTCCGCGCTGAGTCTCTGCGCTGGTCTCTCCTATGGATCTATACGGGTCTGCGCTGGTCTCTCCCATGGATCTATACGGGTCTGCACTGGTCTCTCCCATGGATCTATACGGGTCTGCACTGGTCTCTCCCATGGATCTATACGGGTCTGCACTGGTCTCTCCCATGGATCTAGACGGGTCTGCACTGGTCTCTCCCATGGATCTATACGGGTCTGCACTGGTCTCTCCCATGGATCTAGACGGGTCTGCACTGGTCTCTCCCATGGATCTAGACGGGTCTGCACTGGTCTCTCCCATGGATCTAGACGGGTCTGCACTGGTCTCTCCCATGGCTCTAGACGGGTCTGCACTGGTCTCTCCATACGGGTCCGCGCTGGTCTCTCAAGTCTGGTCTATGCGGTCTCTCTTTGGTCCGCGCTGGTCTCTGCGCACCGGTCTCTCCAGTCAGGTCACTACAGTCTCTGCGGTCTCTCTTCGGTCCGCGCTGGTCTCTGCGCACCGGTCTCTCCAGTCAGGTCACTCCAGTCTATGCGGTCTCTCCTGTCCGCGCTGGTTTCTGTGTGCTGGTCACTCCAGTCTCTCCTCGGGTCTTCATTGGTCTCAGCGCTGGTCCGCGCTGGATCTCCTCCCAGGGTCCAAAATATTTTGAGATTAATCTCAAAACATTTTAAGATTCATCTTTAAAATAATACATAATATATTTTTAAATTAAGCTCATAACATTTTGAGATTAATCTCATAATTTTGCTAGTTCGACTTTATTCTCATAATATTTCGACTTTTAAGTCAACATTTTATAACTTTATTCTCAGTCTGGCAAAAGAAGAAAAAAGGGTGACTCTTTTGCTCCTTGTAACTCTTTGCTTTAGGCCTGTTGCCTTTTCCTCTGGCGTCTGCACATGGCCCTGCAGTCCCTTATATGGGCATTAGTGGGCGGTTACCTATGCTAAGTACCTATGCTAATGAATCACCTGGCACGCGCGCTCTACTTACGAGGAGTTGGCATTCATCAATCTGAGAGAACAGCTGCAAACAATTCAGCGGCTTAAGAGCGCGTTGATGAATCCCACGTAGGCTCTTCTTAGAAATCTACTTAAGAACGACTTGAGAAGAAATTTAAGAAGTTTCTTACGAAGTTATTCGTGAATGAGGCCCAATGTTTGTCTTCTTGAGAAGACAAACGTTGAAATGAGAAGAAATGAGAATATATACAAATATTTAAAATAGCAGTTATTCCACCCTTGTATACACACAACAATTTCAAAATAATCGTGAGTCAAAAAATACAGTAGTTTGAATAAGTTACTGAGAGTTATATGGTTCTGTCAGACCCTAAACTGGTGGACTAATAACCCATTTTTAGTTTTTGCTGAATACAGAAGAGGCCGATTTGAAAATAAGCTAGCTGGAGCCAAGCATTAACTCTGCACTGTAGATGGGCAGGCATGTTGGTAAAGTGCCAAGCCAAGCAGGAGTTTCCCCTGTAAAGGAAGGCATCTGATTGGGCAATCCTATTGGCTCATATTTGGATGTACAATATAAGCACCAGAAAAAAAATGATCTTGAAGAAAAACTTATCATTAAAAAATATGCATAATTATCGGTGTTATTTTTAGCAAATACATTTTACCAAGATTTGACTTTTTCTGTTAATATACCAGGAACAAGACACAATTTATGACCCTCTCGACAAACATTTCAAAAAATTACATTGATCCATCCATCCATTTTCTACCCTTTAATCCATTTCTGGGTCAGGGGGATGGCAGAGATGCCACCCAAGTCTCATAGCACCAGCCCCTCACTGACCCTCAGCAGGTGGTGAGTCCACAGGAGGACGGCTGCTCTGAGTGTGAGCATAGCCTTGATCTTTCAGTGGGGGCTTTGGGCAAAGTGGGGTTAAGTGTCTTGCCCAAGGACACAACGACAGCAGTCATCAGTGGGAGTCGGTGGAGAAGGTGCAGAGGTGGGAATTGAACCCACGACCTTCTGGCCTTAAGGCCAATGCTCTACCAACTGAGCTACTGTCGCCCCCCATACATGTATGAATGTAATTCATACACATATGCATAGATATATACATATACGTAAGCAATACTGAACAGCATCCATTATGTGTTAATATGAATAATGTATTATAACTTCCATCCATCCATTTTCTACCCTTTAATCCATTTCTGGGTCAGGGGGGTGGCAGTCAGAGATGCCACCCAAGTCTCATAGCACCAGCCCCTCACTGATCCTCTGCAGGTGGTGAGTCCACAGGAGGACGGCTGCTCTCTGAGTGTGAGCATAGCCTTGATATTTCAGTGGGGGCTTTGGGCAAAGTGGGGTTAAGTGTCTTGCCCAAGGACACAACGACAGCAGTCATCAGTGGGAGTCGGTGGAGAAGGTGCAGAGGTGGGAAATGAACCCACAACCTTCTGGCCTTAAGGCCAATGCTCTACCAACTGAGCTACTGTCGCCCCATTATAGTTATAATACTGTCGTATTATAACTTTATTTATAATTTAAAGGTTGTGGATGGAGTGGGAACAGAAGAAAAACATCACTAACTGATCATGGTTGTGTCTGTGGTGCTCCAGGATCCATTGTTTTGTATGTTTTCTGGTCCTGGGGTCCCACAGCAGAGAAAACCTTCCAAACAATTGGTTCTATAGAATCTGTAAAGCCTTGCGTACATCGACAGAGTAACTGGAGACAACTAGTTGCAAGGCGGCTTTTGGCAACTGAGAGTAGATGATGGGAGATGATCAGTTGCCGAAATCGTTCGATGTGCGCGCTCTTACAACTGGAGATAAACAGTCAATCTCCAGTTTCAGTCAGTTGCTTGGGTTCTACTTTTCGGCAACTAGTTGTACTCAGATCTGGAGCTATCACACGATGTGCACGCTCCAACAACATGTGTGTATTGGGTGTATTGCGCCCTCTACAGTTTATGCCAGAAAACACACTTTAGTTTCTTTAGAACACATTCTTACATAGTTCCCCTTTAAATATAACTCATGATTCTTAGTGTACAAAAGTAGTCGTGTGATGCTTTCTCCTGGCTGTAGATAATCCTGCAGAACAGTAGCATTATCCTTATTTATGCAGCACCGGCACTGCCTGTATGCAGGAGATTTGTGTTCTCGGTCATATCTGTTTTTTTGTTTTTTTTACATACTCTCTGGAGCAGAACAAATGTGCACTAGACACGAAAGACATTTGGCCTAATGATCTCCTGCGCTGCCTTTTCCGTCCCCTCAGATTTGTGACCAACCCGTTCTGCTTGTTAAGTGCTCCACCTATAGCGTTTGGCTTTGAGAGAGCAATCTAATAACAAGGAGATATTCTGTCTTTCTCCCTTTCGCACTGTTTCTTTGTACCTTGTGCGATACAGGCTTGGATTTGTAGCACGTTAGCGATTCAGCCGACGTCCAAGGCTTGTCTGCGGCGAAACACCTTGCTATTACTCTAGTTGTCCTCAGCCTCCCTCCGCTCTCCTCGCACTTTCTCTTCGCCCGCTGGAGGCAGATAGACTTAACAAGCACGGCAACCCGAATGGGGGATTTGTAAAACGATGTAGGATCAATCATAGAGTAGGTGCGATGGTGGAATCTAAATGATCGTTGGACTCGGAGTGGACATCTGTATGATTGAAATGTCGTGTTAGGAATAAGAGAATGCACAGAACGATAGAAAAGGATTTACTGAAGACAATGAAAATATTGAAGTGTTGAGTAAAAACCCTATTTGATGCTGTGTTGGAGGTGACTTTTGTGAAATGTCTTTGCAACCAGCAAAACGAGGGGCAGGGTACAGACCGGATTTGTGTTCATGCTGTAAACACTAATTCAGTTCTATTCAATGTATCTTTGTCCAGCCCTCAATTACAAAGTTGCCCATTCGCCAACACAGATCAGAGAATCAATCAGGAAATGCGTTGATGACAAACACATAGGAGCCATTAGTCCGTAAGGTGTCCAAAAATAGTAATACATGTCCATGAATGTCCTTAAATGTATAGACATGTATTTATTTATTTATTTATATATTTAATATTATTAATACTGATAATGCATTTTGTTTCTTAGGCGCCTTTCCTGACACCCAAGGTTGCTTTACATTACAAGTTAAAAAGTACATTAAAAAAATAACCGTTAAAATACAATGTCTGTCGGACTGTCTGTCTGTATCTGTTTGTCTGTGTCTGTCTGTCTGTCTGTGTCAGACTGTCTGTGTCTACCTGTCTCTGTCTGTCTGTGTGTCTGTGTCTGTCTGTCTGTATCTGTTTGTCTGTGTCTGTCTGTCTGTCTGTGTCAGACTGTCTGTGTCTACCTGTCTCTGTCTGTCTGTGTGTCTGTGTCTGTCTGTCTGTATCTGTTTGTCTATGTCTGTCTGTCTGTGTCTGTCTGTGTCTGTCTGTCTGTCTGCCTGTGTCTACCTGTCTCTGTCTGTCTGTGTCTGTTTGTCTATGTCTGTCTGTGACTGTCTGTGACTGTCTGTGACTGTCTATGTCTGTCTATGTCTGTCTGTGACTGTCTGTGACTGTCTGTGACTGTCTATGTCTGTCTGTCTGTCTGTCTGTGTCTGCCTGTCTGTCTGTGACTGTCTGTGTCTGCCTGTGTCTGCCTGTGTCTATCTGTGTCTGTCTGTGTCTGTCTGTGTCTGTCTATGGCTGTCTGTGTCTGTCTGTCTGTGTCTGCCTGTGTCTATCTGTGTCTGTCTGTGTCTGTCTGTGTCTGTCTGTGTCTGCCTGTGTCTATCTGTGTCTGTCTGTGTCTGCCTGTGTCTATCTGTGTCTGTCTGTGTCTGTCTGTGTCTGCCTGTGTCTATCTGTGTCTGTCTGTGTCTGCCTGTGTCTATCTGTGTCTGTCTGTCCGTCTGTATTTATTTTATTTTATTGATTTACTTATTTACCTATGTATTTAGCATAAGCTCAACAGATATGACGTTGGTGGTGTGGTGATGTGGTGACGTGGCATAGACAAAACAAAACAATACATTCTGATAAATTCTGGCCTCATTGGTCCATTACAACGACAGAACTGGACCCAGCCTGTCAATCCACATTATTTCAGGTGCAGTTCGTCTCCTGTTTGACACCATAATTTTTTTTTTGGGATCTGGACTCAACAAATTGCTGTCACTTGAGAAGAGCGTTTGCATGTTACGACAAAGATTTCAATTTCCCCATAACGTCTAATGTGATTTATCCCGTGCCCTTGCTTCTATACTCACAGAACATGGGTGTGCATAGGTTATGAAACATCCCATTCTTTCTCTTATCATGTTGTTGATATTCATTTATTCATTGCTTTTTGTAAGAATACTACATTTTTCGTGTTATGGCGTACAGGAATCAAAGTCTTATCTCCATCCTTTGCGTCTGAATGAACAAGCGCACATTTTGATTGATAGATAGATTTGTGAAGGCTTGTAGACGTTTTGTATAAGTGTTTTCATTGTGTCCATGGTGAGTGATAAATGTGGTGCTTTTACAGGCAGAGAAGCTTCAAACTCAACTGCAGGATTTGGAAAAGCTGCTGGCTCGCTTTGATTGCAAAGGTAGATCTGGGAGGCAGCCGCACCTGCTCAAGTATCATAAGAGTGGGCTTTTTGGACACGAGCACCAGGGGGAGGATACTCTGCCCAACGCCCTGGAGGATTTTTTGGCTTTTCAAGGTACGTGTGTGTCTTTGTGTGTGTCTTTGTATGTGTCTTTGTGTGTGTCGCTCTTTCTGTGAACCAGGGCCTGCAGGATTCGTCGCAATCAGAGGCGAAATGGCAATGTTTGTGGGAGATGTTACGACAGAAAGGTGATGAAAAATATGTCAAAAATGTCAAAACTTCTTTATCCAAGCTTTTATATATCTAGCCTTTTTTGCAGTGAATATTATATATTATATACGTCTACTAGAATTAGAAGGGGAAAAAAATGGTATACAGCCTTACAGCTACATAGGCTACAATTTAACCTGAATTATGTGGGAATTGTATACACTGCAAAAAATGATGAAATATAAGGTAATAACTGCTTGATTTTAGTCTTATTTAAAGAACTGTTGCCTTATTTTCTCATTCCTATGGTGAGGTTTCTTGAATATTTTTAAAACAATATATTTTTACCTGTCCCATTGGCAAATCTTGTTTTAAGGCAGTCATAATGTTCTCAAATTAAGATAGATTATGCCAAATTTGAGACATTTTTTACTTTATTTTTTGTCACTTTTTGCAGTGTTGTTATCATTTCAAATGTACGGTTTGTAAATATTTCCCTCTGGAAGATGTTTTTCCCTCGAAATGATCCTGTAGGCTTAAAAAGTCTTATCAAAAGTAGCACTCCCAATGTTTTATCACAATTAGCAAACAGTTAACTTGCTACAATACAAGCTTACATAAAATATATAGAATAAGAAATGAAACCTCACCTATCATTAATCCCGAGCAACAGCCATTTATCAGAGAACATCTTTTAAGACCTGCCTTCCAGCCTTTTGCCCACTACATAAAATCTTAAGCCTCGTGTTTGTCTGCGAGGCAATAAAACAATGTATAATGACCAAGAAGTGCAGCACCTCCGGCGTTTTCTCCCCCATAAAAACAGAGATTGGATCTGGAGGCAGCAACACAAAACTTCCCCCAATTACTTTAACACAATGCTAATATATCCTCATTATCTCCCGGACCAAAGGAGCTCAAAGGCTCAGCCATGCGGACCAAATGGAGACAAATCAAAACAATATACCACCAGCGTCATGTGACCAGCACCATGTGACCAGCTATGGTTCTATTCTAATCCACTGTGTGTGACTTTCATAAGAATAAAACAAAACACAAAGAAATTAAGCATTACATTACAAGTTTGAAAACAGTCGTCCACTAGCATGTGAAAGCCAGATCCTGTGAGACCTCTGAAGCTAAGTAGGGCAGGACCTGGTTAGTACTGTGATGGGAGACCTCTGGGAATAACAGGTGCCACAGTGGGGGCGGCTGCAGCTGTAAAGTGTCAAAACTGTTGTTGTGTCCTGAGTCACTTCACCCATACAGGCAAGAATGAGTCTGATGTGTGTGTGAATGGTTAGTTGTAAGGTGGTGGCCTCGCTTCTGTCTATTGGGGCAGCTGTGGCTACAGTAGCAGTTTACCGCCATCGGGGAGTGAATGAATAATGACATGTGAACCTTGTCCAAAAACGCGCAATATGAATTGGATGCAATTCAAATCCATTCAACTTTATTACAGACTCCATAGGTCCAATTTATAACCGACAAGACAATGATTACCAAATAAACAGTTATGACTTTGAATTGAATTGAATTGAATTATTTATTTCAAAACCTGCTCAAGAAACACATTTTACAAATTTTCAGACTCATATGTTCAAGGTTTGAGGAATGACTTTAAAGACAGCCATAGCAGTGTCCCCTACATATTTCACTGAAATCCAGTGGCACTGAATCTGATTTCATTTCTTGTTTAGTCGACAGATAAAAGTGTAAGCGATACTTTATATGTCCCACAGTGAGGACATTTCAGGGTTTCAGTTTCAGAACAGTAGGAATGAGGAGCACACAGCACAAGATAAATGAACAATGACAATAAAATAAAACAAAAACTAACTTTAGCATAATAAGTAGCAAGTACAAAATCTCTAGCTTTAGCAAGAATTAAGTATAAAATCTCTAGCTTTAGCATAAGAAAGACATAATTATAAAACACTGTATATTCTAGTCCAAGAAATATATAGTTGCATGTTTACATCTGTGGACATTAGCAGCACCAGGGGCTAGAATAAAGTGTCTAAGAGTAAAGTGACAGTGGACACATGTGGTTCTGTTTTGCACATTCTGACATTATTCAAATTAATAATAAATAGAGGACCACCCATTATTTGCTTTGTTGTAAAGTAATTGATTGATTAGTCTCATAGATATGTCATTATATAAATATAGTGTGTAAAAGTAATGACTGTGTAGGCTTGTTCTCTCACACTTAATCCCTAACCATGACCATTGCCAAAACAAAACAAAAATCCCTGCCTGTCTGCAAACGAACCCAAACAACAAGACATTCATTTGGCTCAAACATCTGGACGTATGCTTTCAGTTTTTGTCAACTCAAAACCAAACGATAGACTTTATGTCTGGATTCCCACAGCCAATTAAAGAGACGTTTTGAGAATACACACAGACAAACAGGAGCAAGACAAATGAGCCGTATGAAATAATCCGTGAAAGACTTAGAGTGAATTTATATTGCCATGTGTTCATTGTTCTTACAGAAGCCAGAGAGGCCTTCATAAAACAATTTGCCGCACTGGAAGCATCCACAGGCACCGTCTCTGCACAGTTACACGCTTTTACGGGGACTTTGAACTGCACTAACGCCACGGTGGCTCTGTCAGAGGAAGAGGAGGAGAAGAAAGAAGGAGGAGGACGGCGGGAAGAGAAGAGAAAAGATGAAGGAACCAGAGCTGTTGTGTGTCAGATGTTTACGAGCAGCGAGGTCATGATCACAGCGGCACACGCAGGACTGAAGCAGGCGGCGCAGGACATGGACGACATGGTAAATCAGGGGCTTTGTATACCCAGCGTGGTGTATAGTGTGTGTGAGTGTCTCTGTGTATGTGTGTGTCTGTGTGTGTTTGTGTCTTTGTGTGTGTTTGTGTCTATGTCTTGTGTGTGTTTGTTTGTGTCTGTCTGTCTGTCTCTGTCTAAATCTGCGCAAATCTCCTTCAAACATGACGAGTTGAGTTTTTACCAAAAAGTGCTGTTTCGGTTTCATCTGACCATGTGAAATTCACCCAATCCTCTTCTGGATCATCCACATTCTCTCTGGCAAACTTCAGACGGGCCTGGACATGCACTGGCTTCAGCAGGGGGACACGTCTGGCACTGCAGGATTTCATTCCCTGTCATCGTAGTGTGTTACTGATGGTAACCTTTGTTACCATGGTCCCAGTTCTTTGCAGGTCATCCACTAGCTCCCCCCGTGTGGTTCTGGGATTCTTGCTCTCTGATTCTTGACCCCACAGGATGAGATCTTGCCTGGAGCCCCAGATCGAGAGAGATTATCAGTGATTCCCACAATTGATTTCGTCAAACCAAGCTGCTTACCTATTGCAGATTCAGTCTTGCCAGCCTGGTGCAGGTCTACAATGATGTTTGTGGTGTCCTTTGACAGCTCTTTGGTCTTGGCCATAGTGGAGTTTAGAGTGTGTCTGTTTGAGGCTGTGGACAGGTGTCTTTCGGATTGATAAGTTCAAACAGGTGCCATTAATACAGGTAACTAGTGGAGGACAGTGGAGCCTATCAAAGAAGGAGTCTGTGAGAGCCACAAATCTTGCTTGACCAAATACTTATTTTCCACAATAATTAGCAAATAAAATCTTTAACATTCAGTCAATGTGATTTTCTGGACATATTTCTCATTCTGTCTCTCATAGTTGAGCTTTACCGATGAAAATTACAGGCCTCCCCCATCTTTATAAGTGAGAGAAATTGCACTACTGTTAGCTGATTAAATATGTTTTTTCTCCACTGTACCATTAGAAAGGGCCCTGTGAGTCACTCTTTGTTGCTTTGGGCTGAGAGCTGATTGACTGAGACTCAGGATGGTTGTCTAATTTCCACTTTTCTGTCTGAAAAAGCTGTTCTAAAATGTGACAGAGGCCAAATAGTACCAGAAGACAGTGAAGTCAGCCCAGCACAGGGGTAATGTGCTCTCTCTTCCGTGTCTTAGTGCGTACGCAAGCTGAGACACTTGTTTGTATACAAATTTGACAACATTGCTCTTACATTTAACTGATTATGAGATTAAATCCAGCAAGTATATATATTTTTTGCGCCTACTGGCCTCCCTCTCATGAGCTGCTTGTACACTCATTGATTTCTTGTCCTTTTTTTTGGATTCCGCAGTTCAGCAATCTTCACAAAACTCCTCATATAGATCCACACGTGCCCTAAAGCAAAACATTTCTGCTCACACCTCACTCCACTCTCCTTCTGAAAAAAAAAAAAAAACTTCTTCATAATACGTGTTTGATGGACGTTTAAATTAACAACTTGTTCCTTCCTTCCTGCAAGGCTTTTCCCGCCGTCTGTAGGGATATGATTTTTTGGTTTCTCTTTTGATAGGCCGAGATGAGTGCGCACATTTTTGCTAATACTTGTGCATTCAGCGGGTGTGTTGACATACCTTCCTGGCAGTTATCACTTGGTTAAACCCAGAGCTCCTGCAATTTAATTCCATATTAATAAACACAGTGATACACCAAAATATTATGCAGTTCTGTTGTTTTTTTCCCCCTTTTTCATTTGCATACTTCACCATTAAATGTCACCCAGGGAAATGCTCGGTATGCATAACATTTTTATTTATTTGGGAGTAAACTAAACGGCAGATACAAATTGGCTGGGTTTTCAATAGCTTCACCTCTGAACGTTCTAGAAGCGTGCCCTGTTTTTTTAGTTAAAGGACATTTTATCCGAATTCAAAATGGGCTTGTGGTTAAAAAGTGAGTAGTATCTCAACAAGGAGCGCAGAAAAACATTGCGCTTGTGGGATATTTATTTTTGTATAGCTCTAAATCATAACAGCAGTCGCCTAGGAGGACTTTAGGCGAGGCAAGTTTATTTGTGCAGGACGATTCATACAACAAGGCAACTCCAAAAAGTGCTGAACAAAACAAGACCACACCAATAAAAACCATTAAAACCACTGAAACCATAAATAATCACAGTAAAAAATAGTACAAAATAAAATCGCTCAGGTTGTATGCACAGCTAAAGAGAACTTATTATTTAAAGAAGCCTGTCTCACATTTTCAGGAAGGTTCTCATGGGCGACCTTCTCAGCAAGAAGGTCCTGGGTTCGAATCCCGGTCAGAAAAGGGCCGTTCTGACTGGAGTGTACATGGTCTCCCGGTACCTGCGTAGGTTTCCTCCAGGTGCTCCGGTTTCCCCTTACCACTGAAAACATGTACAATAGGTATGAATGTAATGAGTGAGTGAAGGGATGGTGTTGGTTGGGACTTTGATTCACCGTGTGTGAATGGAAAATTATCTGAACTCTGAACATTGTAAAGCGCTTTGGTCTGTAAAATGCGCTATATAAATAAACATTACTTACTTACATGAACGTAGCCTATAAAAACAAGGCTACAGAAATATTTACCCAATTCAGTCTCCTGCCAAAACAATCAAACCAGAACAAATCGTAAGCACTGTAAATGACCTATTATTAACTACCCATAACTCCTCTGTGTTTTTGTGTTTCAGGTCATTCCTTTCGAGATGCCGTCAAGCCCCAACAAGTGGAACGTTATGGTCAATGATTCACTCGAGTTGATGAAAAGGTATTTCTCATTAAATATTTAAAGCCAGTGATTATAAGCAAATACCACCTTGGTCATTTCCTTAATTTCCCCGGCAATTACAATTCCTGACATTTGTTTTTGCTAATTCTACCCCCTCGGCTGGTCTTTGGATGTCGCTCTGATGTGGTATTTAGAGAGAGAGAGGGAGAGAGAGAGAGAGGCAGAGATACCAAGAGAGAAAGAGAGAGATACCAAGAGAGAAAGAGAGAGAGAGATTCCAAGAGAGAAAAAGAGAGATACCAAGAAAGAGTAAGAGATTCTAAGAGGGAGAGAGAGAGAGATACCAAGAACGAGAGAGAGAGAGAAAAAGAGACATACCAAGAGAGAGCGAGAGAGATACCAAGAGAGAGAGAGATGCCAAGAGAGAGAGAGATACAAAGGGAGAGAGAGATACCAAGAGAGAGAGAGATACACAGGGAGAGAGAGAGAGCGAGATACCAAGAGAGAGAGCGACACACACACACACAGAGAGAGCGAGAGAGAGGGACAGTCAGAGAGAAAGAGAGAGGGAGAGAGACACACAGAGAGAGCGAGAGAGATACCAAGAGAGAAAGAGAGGTAGAGAGATACAGAGAGAGGCAGAGATACCAAGAGAGATAGAGAGATTCCAAGAGAGAAAAAGAGAGATACCAAGAAAGAAAGAGAGAGAGAGAGAGATTCTAAGAGGGAGAGAGAGAGAGATACCAAGAGCGAGAGAGAGACACCAAGAGAGAAAGAGAGATATACCAAGAGATAGCGAGAGAGAGAGATACCAAGAGAGAGAGAGATACAAAGGGAGAGAGAGAGATACCAAGAGAGAGAGAGAGCGAGATACCAAGAGGGAGAGATACCAAGAGAGAGAGAGATAGAGAGAGAGAGAGACACACACAGAGAGAGTGAGAGAGAGAGGGACAGTCAGAGAGAAAGAGAGGGAGAGATACCAAGAGAGAGAGGCAAAGATACCAAGAGAGCAAGAGAGAGAGATGCCAAGAGAGAAAGAGAGAGAGAGAGAGATTCTAAGAGAGAGAGAGAGATACCAAGAGCGACACACCAAGAGAGAAAGAGAGACATACCAAGAGAGAGCGAGAGAGAGAGATACCAAGAGAGAGAGAGATGCCAAGAGAGAGAGAGATACAAAGGGAGAGAGAGAGAGCGAGAGACACCAAGAGAGAAAGAGAGACACACCAAGAGAGAGCGAGAGAGAGAGATACCAAGAGAGAGAGAGAGATACCAAGAGAGAGAGAGAGAGATACAGAGAGAGAGACACCAAGAGAGAGAGAGATAGAGAGAGAGAGAGACACACACACAGAGAGAGCGAGAGAGAGAGGGACAGTCAGAGAGAAAGAGAGAGGGAGAGAGACACACAGAGAGAGCGAGAGAGATACCAAGAGAGAGAGAGAGAGAGGGACAGTCAGAGAGAAAGAGAGAGGGAGAGAGACACACAGAGAGAGCGAGAGATACCAAGAGAGAGGTAGAGATACCAAGAGAGAGAGAGAGAGAAAAAGAGAGCAAAAGAGAGATACCAAGAAAGAAAGAGAGAGAGATTCTAAGAGGGAGAGAGAGAGAGAGAGAGAGAAAGATACCAAGAGCGAGAGAGAGACACCAAGAGAGAAAGAGAGACATACCAAGAGAGAGCGAGAGAGAGAGATACCAAGAATGAGAGAGATACAAAGGGAGAGAGAGAGATACCAAGAGAGAGACACACACACACACACACACAGAGAGAGCGAGAGAGAGAGAGGGACAGTCAGAGAGAAAGAGAGAGGGAGAGAGACACACAGAGAGAGCGAGAGAGATACCAAGAGAGAGAGATACAGAGAGAGAGAGAGGCAGATATACCAAGAGAGAAAGAGAGAGAGATTCCAAGAAAGAAAGAGAAAGAGAGATTCTAAGAGGGAGAGAGAGAGAGATACCAAGAAAGAAAGAGAAAGAGAGACATACCAAGATAGAGCGAGAAAGAGAGAGACAGAGAGAGAGAGATGCCAAGAGAGAGATACAAAAGGAGAGAGAGAGAGAGAGCGAGATACCAAGAGAGAGAGATACCGAGAGAGAGAGACACCAAGAGAGAGAGAGAGAGAGAGAGAGAGAGACACACACAGAGAGAGCGAGAGAGAGAGAGGGACAGTCAGAGAGAAAGAGAGGGAGAGATACCAAGAGAGAGAGGCAGAGATACCAAGAGAGCAAGAGAGAGAGATGCCAAGAGAGAAAGAGAGAGAGAGAGAGAGATTCCAAGAGAGAAAAAGAGAGATACCAAGAAAGAAACAGAGAGAGAGATATACCAAGAGAGAAAGAGAGACACACCAAGAGAGAGCGAGAGAGAGAGATACCAAGAGAGAGAGAGATGCCAAGAGAGAGAGAGATACAAAGAGAGAGAGAGAGATACCAAGAGAGAGAGAGCGAGAGACACCAAGAGAGAAAGAGAGACACACCAAGAGAGAGCGAGAGAGAGAGATACCAAGAGAGAGAGAGATACCAAGAGAGAGAGAGATACAAAGGGAGAGAGAGAGAGATACCAAGAGAGAGACACCAAGAGAGAGAGAGAGAGACACACACACAGAGAGAGCGAGAGAGAGAGGGACAGTCAGAGAGAAAGAGAGAGGGAGAGAGACACACAGAGAGAGCGAGAGAGATACCAAGAGAGAGAGAGAGGTAGAGAGATACAGAGAGAGAGATGCAGAGGGAGAGAGAGAGATGCAGAGAGAGAGAGGCAGAGATACAGAGAGAGAGATGCAGCGATACAGAGAGAGAGATGCAGAGAGAGAGAGAGGCAGAGAGAGAGGCAGAGATACAGAGAGAGAGATGCAGCGATACAGAGAGAGAGATGCAGAGAGAGAGAGAGATGCAGAGAGAGAGAGAGAGGCAGAGAGAGATACAGAGAGAGAAAAAGCTGGACAGGCCAAAAGGAAGTTGTGTTGCCAGTGCCTGAATCGTTCCCTTCTCTCCCTCCTCAGGCTGTTTAACGACTCTTGTTCACCAGACTTTTTAAATTCGTCTTGTCTTGCAGTCACACAGAGGCAGCGGCCCACATTGAAACCATAGCCAGCAGCGCGCTACAGGCCTCAAAGCGGACCTTCGCACTCTTGACAGATCTCCTAATGGACAACTCCACCGAGGAGTACATCAGGAACCTAACCGAGCAGTAAGCACTAAGCACCCAGCACTCACACACACAAGCACCACCCAGTTTGCCATTCACATAAAACACATTTTTATAGCCTAATTCTTACCTGTGGAGGCTGGCTGTGTATGTATATTGTAAAGTACACCTGTCTTCGTCCAGCCGTTCAAGGCCCCTTTATTCCTCGCCAAGAGCCTATTGTTCAGGAGTGAGACATTTTGCCACGGGGGGAATAGCTTCTCTCTCCGCTGTAAGCCTATTGCTTTCTCCGGATTTTCTGCACTCCCACGGCATCCTCTAGCGTGAGATTGCTGTGAGGATTATCCCAAATGCCAGACAGAATGATGCAAAATGCCCTCCAGTGGCCATGATGAGAAGAAGAGGGGAGAAAAGTCGCAATTGATTACCCCCCTCCTCCCCTCCCTCGTTCTCCCGCTCCTCCCGCTCCGTCGCCGCCTTCGCTAACTGCGGTCGGTTTGGTCCAGGACATTTAAGCTAATCTCAAGAGTGACATGTCTATATTTTGTGCTTCTTATACAGTGCCACTCAAGATATTAGAGCTAAAAAAGGAGCAGCGTGAAATGTTATTCCCACACATTCTTAGTGCCTTATATTGATACTAAGAAGATCAAATTGAATTTTATTGGCATGATGCAAAACTAGTCAGAGTCAGAAAATAGACTCAAGGCTTTTAGATAACCTCCTTGTGAGTTTGATTGCCTCCCACACACAATCTTAACTTAGTTTGTGGATTTATTGGCTCTCTGCGGGATGTCTTTTCAAATGGATATGATAACGAGATTTGGTTTAGTTTTCTAGCACTTTGGAGTGAAATGATTTGTGTACCGTCTTGAGCTATTGTCTCTGTTGTTCAATTGCGTATATTTTTGTAACACCCTAAATGAAAAGGGCTTTACAAAGTTGTTGATTTGCCGACACAGATCAGAGAATCAAACTGTTCAAGAACAGGAATTTCAATGATAAACCAGTTTGAGGTCGAGCCTAAAAATACAATGGATGACCAATGTTGATAAATGTCCATTAAAGGAGGGATATGTAAAAATCTGGCCAAAAGTGGTACTGCATTCACAGTCAATATTCTGTTGTCCTCTCGCACTCTCCCTGACTCAGGTTGCCAGATATGCAGACAAATCCAGCAGGGACCATAATAGCTGAATAGACGAGAGTTTTGTCAACAACAAATCTAAAACCAACACCTTTTTCACAAACGAGACCTTCAATCATAACGAGACTTTACCAGTGAGATTAGCTCGGCACGGTGAGTTCTGGCAACCCGAATCTCGGACTTTCTGATTGGATAAACAGTGGAGGGGGGACATCAAAATTAAAACATGGTAGTGACTCCAGTTTTGATGTTAAAACATCCCTGAACTACTGTTATCAGTTAAAGAAGTATTGGAAAAGAGCATTTATTCATTTCTTTTGACATTTTAGAGCCATTTATCGATGACCTGACATGAAAATCTCACTATATTGCTTCTTTAATGACCCTAAATGTCCTGGACAATCACCACTGTCCACTGCATCCTCCTGTTATCCCCTTATGCGGCTGAGTGGTTAACACTCTTGCTTCTCAGCATCTTTTGCCTGCATAGGTTCTGCCTGTATCACTTATCTGAAATAGCATAGGCGTGTGCACCTGCGTGTGAAAGCTTGATCCTGGACAGGCCCTGATTAGTGCTGTGATGGGAGACCTCTGGAAAAACCATAGACTGTATGTAGATGGATAATGCTTTCCTCTGAGCTTAATGAAGACCAGAAGAGACGTGCTCTGGGAAGAAAAAGCTTAAAAGTACATTTCAGTAACCGTCTGTGTCACACTGTCACACTCTCCATTCTGGCCTTAGATATCTGTGGTTTAGGCCTCTCTAAGATCCTTGTATTAGAGCGACTAAACACATGTGCCCAGCCTTACTCCGTCCACATGAACGTTTGACAATGTTCTTTTAAAAGGGCGTTGCTTGGACGACCAAGGGACAAGAAGGGGGCTGAGAGTTAGGCGTGATCTGGGCTGTGATTGACAGCTCACTTGTCACACAAAAAAAAAAACAGACAGTTGTCATTTGCTGCTTAAAGCAATAGTTTACAGACCAGCAAGTCTCACTCCACCCTTGTTTACACACTAAGATAATTTTAGAGCTGGACACCTGAACCTAAGCCACAGAATTATCTCAGCAGCAGTGGTTGTCAACTCATGTAATTTCATTTTAATCCACTAGATGTCGCCAGAATACTCCAGCCTGCTGCTGGGGCGTGTCTGAGAGTTGGATGGGTTTATATCACTGGCGCAGACAGACGCACGTCACACACACAAACTGACGTCACACAGTATTACAGAGTCAATAGAGAGGCCAGGACCAAATTTTATTACCAATTTACCAATTTTTAGGCTCAAAAACGTTTTTTTTGGGGGGGGGGGTTGTCCCACAGTGAGGAGATTTCAGTATTGCATCACAGATTACAAAAACATTAGGGGTGAGGAGCACACAGCACAAGATGAACAATAACTAATAAAATACAATAAAATAAATCTCGAACTTTAGCATAACAAGGCAGCAAATCTAAAATCTCCAATCTCAAATTTCCATATTTTTATTTTGTCTATGTAAATGTCATAAAAAATCCCTCCTGCAGTGAGAAGGAAAAACTCTAGAAACCCAATGGGAGAAAAGTGAGAAAGAGAAAGGCCCAGATTGAGGGAGGGATCCGCTCCCATGAATCCAGGACCTGTATTTAATCCAATCCAATTTTTTCCAGACGCATTTTTTAAATATTGTGGGAAAACGTTAGCCTGGCCTTATCCATCCGCTCAATCATCGTTTCCCTGCATGTAACGTCTCGGTCTGGTTCCTGTTTTTGCGATTACAATCGGTTGAATTTCGACCGACCAATCAGCAAGCACGGAAGGCGGGTGTTGTAGTTAGTTGTGGGTGACGTCAAGAGTTTGCGTCGAACGGGAAGTCGTAGTTTGGCAATAGCGAAAAATGCGATAGTAAAGTATTCCGGTCTGGTTCTATCAAGAAATTGAAGCAGGAGCAAGAGGAATGTTTAGCAAATGTAATCGCTGGTCAAGATTGTGGCTCTACTCCCCACGGGCTCCGTTAGCGGCAAAGGAGATGGCTAGGCTAAATGCTAAATGCTAACAACAAACTCAGGCGCACTACATACGTCACGGTAAACTCAGATTCAATCGTTTCAATCTGCAAAAGGAGTTAACCCCTCCCACCTGTTCACGGAGCTCAATCGAGCACCTCCACACCTTCGTACGAAATGTAATTTGTACTAAGGTGTGGTACGACTAGGCTAGGAAAACGTCCCTAAATCCTAAAAGTATCAAGTTATCATGTGTTTTCAAATAGTAATGGAATTGACCAGATTCCTATAGTCTACAAAAATTAAACAAAAAATAATTTTGGAGCGGAAAGATAAAAATAAACCAATGGGATGCGTTTACCCTCCTTCATCCTCTTCCTGTTTCTCACGCGTGCGCACACCTGACTTATCAGATTTTCTAAAACCTTAAATGGCTGAACAGAAAATACCAATTTCACGTTTGCCACACACTCTCCCTGTTGTGACAAAGAAAAGAAAATTCTGGATGTTTGGTTTGGTGGAGAGACGAGGGGAGGGTGGTTTGGAGTTGATGCTACGGCTAAGCTAACAACATTGCTTACTGCACCTTCAAATCAGAAAGCCTCGAACCTTTTCCTCTTTCCTTTCTATTATTGTCCCACAAATCCACAAAGACCACCCGTATTACCACTTATACCACTTAGAAGGAGAGCTACTGCAGGGGCTTTATCCCCACCGCTGTCAGACTGTACAATAAGTCACTTTAAGTCACTGACGCACTAGGACTGCACTGCTATTGCCACTCTTTCTTCTATTGCCACTTTTTTATTGTACATAATTATATCCTGCACAGATTATATTCTTTAACCTTTAACATGTCGCACACTTCTGTCTTTTTGCACAATCTGAGTGATCCATATTTAAGTTCATTCAATGCATTCTTTTGATGACGTATTTGGGACTCTGCGCAGAATCAGCCAAATGCAGCAGTGGAAGGTGGATCTGGAGAGGCAGGTGAACGAGACGGCAGCCGCACAGAGGGCCCTGGAGGAGGGGGCTGCCGACCGGAGCACGGCCCTGGGACTCCTCACATCATCCTTACGTCACACGGCATCGACATCTGTCAACACTTCAGCGGAGGCCGAGCACACGTCAGTCAACCAAACGCTGCAAAGTCACCAAGCAAGAGCGGTCAGTGTCACCTCCACATTTGTAACATTGTTTTTTAGAAAAGACATGAAGAATTTGCAAAGAATCGATTCTATTCTTCTACGATTGCGATTCTCTAAATGCTTCTTAAGAGCAGCAAGTACAGTAAATATCAATATATTTATGTATTTAGGGTAAAAGGAAACATTGTGGACATTGTGAAATTGCAGTATTGCTGGTACTGGTACATCTCTGTGTCCACTACGCACACATGCATATTATTGATCCATTTGGCCTTTATGATACCTTTTTTAAAACAATTTGCCGGGCGGGACAGTGGCTCAATGGATTGCACTGTCGCTTCTCAGCAAGAAGGTCCTGGTTTTGAATCCCGGTCGGAACGAGGCCTTTCTAGTTGGAGTTTGCTTGCCAGTTGGGTTGCCAGTTTCTTTGGTCTCTACCTCGAGGTCTCTGAAAGATGAGCAGTTACGTGTGTGTGTGTGTGTGTGTGTGTGTGTCTATGTGTATATGTGGGTGTATTCTTGCATGTGTGTGGGTGTGTACATGCATGTGTGTGTGTGTATGTGGGTGCGTGCCTGCGTGATTGTGTGTGTGTGTATATGCATGTATGTATGAAACTTCAATCAGTGCCTGCGTGTATGTGTGTGTATTATTGTATGTGTGTGCGTATGTAAGTGCCTGCCTGTATGTGTGTGTGTGTGTGTGTGTGTGTGTGGATATGCATGTGTGTGTGTGTGTGAATGTGCGTGTGTATGTGTGTGTATTATTGTGTGTGTGTGCATATGCTATTACATAATATAACATTATTGATTGTTTTTTCTGTATTAAAACAGCTGTATCATGTTTGCTAGTTTTGTTTAAAGTGTATTAAGTAACTCCACTCCAGGTCTAAGCTCAATCTCCTTCTTCCATACATCCATTCATGTATAATTACCGCACTCGTCATGTCTCCAAACGGTCTAAACATTGGTTAAATGTATTTTCTTGTAGCTGGACTTGGAGAAAAGGGTATACAATATGGACTTTCGCGTTGGGGCCGCAGACAGCCGCATCAGAGAGAGCAGCTCCAGGATGGAACCACAAACACAGGCTGCTAATGAGAAGTTAGGGATGGGAGACGAGCTGGATCAATCCATCTATAAGGTGTGTGGACCAGACTCACTGAGGCATGTCTGCGTAGTATTGAACCGTGTAATCCTGGGAGCTTTGCCATTTAAAGCTGGGGTACCTAACTTTCAACCCAAATCAAAAAAATGACACTATGTAATAAAACTACAAAAAATAATAATAATGATAATTGGTTGCTTAACAAAGAGCTGGAATGGATGACCAATAAGCAGGTGGTGGTCATGTCATTTCACTGTTTCTTTTGACTAAGTAATCCCGTTCTAATATTAAAGCTAGGGTACGTAACTTTCCTCAATCAATCAATCAATCTTTTTTATTTCGAACTTCATTGTCAAATCCAGTGTCATGGCAGTTCATAAAAAAGCTTCTTTGTACACTCTGTACTTCTATGCTCATATGAAAACAAATGACAAAACAATGATAAATAAAAAATATGAGAAGCAATACAAAAATCACAAAAAATTCAAGAAAATACAAAAAAAAAGAGGGGCGACAGTAGCTCAGTTGGTAGAGCATTGGCCTTTGGGCCTGAAGGTCATGGGTTCAAGCCCACCATAAGACCTACTTCACGACTCCCACTGATGACTGCTGTTGTTGTGTCCTTGGGCAACCCCACTTTGCCTGAAGCTCCCACTGAAAGATCTCCTGTGGACTCGCCACCTGCAGGAGGATCAGTGAGGGGCTGGTGCTCTGTGGACTGGGTGCAGCTGTGACTACCACCCCCCCAACCAAGAAATGGATTAATAATAATAATAATAATGCATCGGTTTTATATAGCGCTTTTCTGGACACTCAAAGACGCTTCACATGTGTCATTATTCATTCACACGGTGGTGATAAACTACTGCTGTAGCCACAGCTGCCCTGGGGCACACTGACAGAAGCGAGGCAACCAGTATGCGCCATCGGCCCCTCCGACCACCACCAACCATTCATACACACTAGACTCATTCTAGGCAATGGGGGTGAAGTGTCTTGCCTAAGGACACAACGGCAGTTTGGCACTTTACAGCCGCAGCCGCCCCACTGTGGCTGGTGTTCCCAGAGGTTAAGTGTCTTGCCAAGGACACAACGACAGTAGTCAGTGGGAGTCGATGGTGAAAGTCTTGAGCGGGGCTTGAACCCACGACCTTCTGGCTCAAAGGCCAAAGCTCTACCAACTGAGCTACTGCCGCCTAAGTAATTTAAGGGGAATTAAGGGGATTAAGGGGAAGAAAATGGATGGATGGATGGATGGACAAAAAAAAAGACAACAAAAAAGTTTGAAAGGGAGTGGGAAGAAGTAAATTATTTTTAAATCCCAACCCCAGTGCATACATTTTTATGGGTTGCTTAATGCATAGTAAACACAAGTTATTTTACCACATCAATATATTTACAATTCCAAAAACAGGAGGATACTCAGTTGTTCATGTACGGACTCGAGAATAAGTTTACACTTATGAAAACTTATTCTCGAGTCCGTACACTTCAAACCATAGTTATAATGTTACTGCTGGGATTTGGGGCTATACAAAAGAGTAGAACAATTTGGTTCTACAAACGTTTTTTTGGTTTCTGTCACATCAACACGTTGAGCTTTTTCAGGAAAAAATGTTTGTCTACTGCATAATCGTAAGTAAGGTCGGACAGAAACTCCCATCAGTGCTCTTTACCTGAGTACTTGTAACGTATGTGGCGTACACAAATATGTATTTATTCATTTAGAGGCCCCTTGAGATGAATCTTATAGTTTTCAAGGAGGTCCTGCAGATTTCTCAAGGTGACAGATACAGAAAAACAGAAGAAAATCTTAAAACAATAAGAGAGCAAGTATAATAAATACGCACATATACTCAAAATCAATCAATCAATCAATTTACTTCTATAGCGCAGTTCATACAGAAAGCAACCCAAAGTGCTTCACAAAATCAACTTTTAAAAGCAATTAAAGATATAAAGTAGTTCCTATTGTATTGTCAGAACCATTTAGCACATAGAGTATATAAATAACTGTTTACATCAATACAACACCCTCCCTCACCCAATCAGCTCTGAGCCCAAAGCCTCAAAGTCAAGTGTTTATGTATATGGCACATTTGCAACTACAAGAGACAAAATTCTGACTCACACACTGCAAAAAGTGACAAAGTATAAGGTAATATATGCTTGAAGTGCTTTTTTTTTTAATCTTAGTTTTAGCAAATGTTGAGCGTCTAAAGACAAGAAATGCCATTGGGACAAGCGAAAATGTTCTTGAAATAAGTCTAAGCGGCTTGTTCCATTGGCTATAATTGTTTTAAGAAAGTGAAAAATATACTAAAACAATATAAAAAAACACCTGATTCAAGCATTCACTACCTTATATTTTCTCACTTTTTGCAGTGCAGGGCTCTTTCCTATGTCTGCGTTTAACTTTTTCCTATAGACTCTTTCTATTGAGCCCCGACAAAATGTTTTATTCACGAGAAAATAAAGTTAGGTACCCCAGCTTTTTGCCTATCGTCCCTGCTTTCTACACAGCTGCGAGCTCAGGCCCAGGAGTCAAAGATCACAGCGCTGTCATCCGTGGTGTCGGGGAAAGAGGTGGAATCCGAGGCGATCGCCCTGCACCGAGGCCTGGAATGTGGGTCTTCTTCCTCTCCTCCTCCTCCTCTTCCTCCTCCTCCTCTCCTTCTTGTTCCTCCTTAAAATCTTTGAACATTTCTGCTCAAATTGAACTGTCAAGAACAAAGACAAACCGTGCGATTTCCCATCCCTCCAGACATGGCGAAGGAATGGCCCCGGCAGCAGCTCCAAACTAAGGCCGTTTTGAAAAAAGAGAGACCGCTCAGGGAGAAAGTTCTGGGCGTAGTGAACAGAAAGGTGGCCCAGGTTGAAGAGATGCTTAGAACAGCACTAAAAAACTCCACCGTCGCCGCCAATACATCCGACAAAGCTGAACAAATTGCACAGTCTGCTGCTGAGGTACCGCTCATTTCTCCTTTTCTGTTTTTTCCTTTTTTTTTTGGCACATTATTTGTAGTTAATAGTTTTCCAGGTTTTACTTCCATCTTCCGTGTGCACACAGGAATCTAAAAGTCTTTTAAGCCAAGCCAAGCATACGAGCACTGCCTCTGCCTCCCTCGGCTCCCGTATAGATGCGGCGGTGAGCGGTTTGAGCGAGCCAGAGACGTTAAGCCAAAACCATTCACAAATCTTCACAGAGGTACGCACGACACAGACCGGCGCAGTTGTGTTGAGATTAAAGGGGGGTTTCTCTCTTTGTCTCTGCAGCCTGAAGTGTCGCTGACAAAAGTAAAGGAGGACATGAAGGAGGCCCAGAGCCAGTTAGAAGCCTATTCTGCGACGCTAACCGAGCTAATTAGCAAAATTGGTATGTCTTTTTTTGCTTCTTAAAGGCGCTATACCCGTTTCTGCAATGTTTGAATGTTTAGCACCGCCCCCCAACTCGCTCACAGGCTTCTCATTTCCCCTACGCTCTCATAACACGGAGCCACCTAGTTTTATTTGCGATCTGATACATATGCTAACATTAGCATTAGCGCAACTTGTAAGCTGTACAACAATCACTGATGAAATGGTACTAAAGCAACGCACTGCTAACACAATATATAAGTAAAAGAATACCATTAGTTTCGCGTCCGGATGTATTAATTTAAACATTAGAATATATTCTAATATTTAATTATAATGTGTTATACAGCTCCTCACAGCAGCAGCACTCCATTGACTTGAATGCAATTCTTCCGATCATTTTTTCTTGATAACAGAACTCTCAAACCAATAATGACCGAAGCCCCAATGCAATCTGTTTGTAATTCAGGTGGGTAAAATACTGCCATTACTCTGCAAGTACAAGCTATCAGCACCTGTCACTACACACTCGTCTGTGTAGAGAAGCCAACGGAGCTAGCCACGCTCAATAAACAAACACATATCTATCAATCAACACCATTAAACGTCAATCGGACAATACAGTATACAGATACATCCTTAACACACATGCACGGACTGTTTCAGAATTTGCTGTCAACGTTTTCATGACAAAAATACTGTTTTAAAGTGACAAAAAGCGATCGCGAAAAACCCGGAAGTTAACCATGAAACGGCTAGCTAGCTGAGCTGTTACCTGCCTAGCACGTCCCGGTGAAACCTTTGGGAGCTAACTATTTTATTTGCAGTCATTAAATACATTTCTAATTATAAGGGTTGTCTAATATTTGTTTAAATATGTATATATATTTTTATTTTAGAATTTTATTCGAATTTTGAAGTCGAAGCCCTGGTGTTGAGCAGCGCTGTAGAGGCTAGAGGACGCAGGCTGCTCGCTCCTTGTTCTGTGAGTGGAGGAGAACGAGCGGCCCGCTCAGACTCTACTCAGCACTTTTTACTGCCTGAATTTCATACACAGTGGAATCAATGACCTCAAGTTTTCAATTAAATTATGTATTATGATACAACTTGTATGTAGTAAAAAGCATTTTTATGAACTACTTAGAAAAAAAATCGGGTATAGCTTCTTTAAAACTATCTTTCTCGCTCTCTTTCTGTCTCGCTCTGCCTCGCTCTCTCTTTCTCTGTGTCTTTCTGTCTCTTTGTCTCTCTCTCTCTCTCTTGCTCTCTAAGTAAGTAATCTTTATCAAAGCGATTTACAAGGTTCGGAGTCTTCTCTCTGTCTCTCTATCTCTCTGTCTCTCTCGCTGTCTGTCTCTCTCTGTCTCTGTCTCTCTCTATCTCTATGTCTCTCTCTATCTCTGTCTCTCTATCTCTTTTTCTCTGACTCTCTGTCTATCTATTTGTGCCTCTCTCTCTATCTCTCTCTCTCGCTCTCTCTCTCTGTGTGTCTCTCTCTCTCTCTGTCAATCTTTACCTGTCTCTCTATCTTTCTCTGTCTGTCTATCTCTGTCTCTCTCTCTGTCTGTCTCTCTCTCTCTGTCTCTGTGTCTCGCTCTCTGTCTCTCTATCTGTGCCTCAGTCTCACTCTCTCTCCCTCTTTCTCTGTCTCTCTCTCCCTCTCTCCTTAACTTATTTACAATGTTTAGAGTTCTCTCTCTCTCTCTGTCTCACTGCCTCTCTCTGTCTCTCCCTCCCTCTCTTTCTTTCTTCCAGATAATTCTCAATATGACCATTCTTTAGTCTTGCATGCCTAAGACGCTCATAAATCTTCATTATTCCTCAAATGTCATATCACTAAAGATCTCTGTGCTCTTTAATGGCTCATTTAACATGGAAATATTTCCCACCCTTTCATTTCTACGGTAAAGAAAGAATAACTGTCGCCCAGAGAGACCTTTGCTTTGGAATTTAAAAGTGCTGATATAAATTAGATTTTACTGCCTGACCTACACATTAAAAGGGATTATACTTAATTGGGGAATTGATTGTATAGTTTTAGAAAGTAGTAAGGAAGTGGGAGTTCTCCATAGATTGGTTAAATTAGTAGAAGTATCAGAAAAATGTCTTAAAAATCAAACCAAATCCTGTGTACATTATTGTATTAAGGTGGTATCTGCTTTGCTTGGGTTCATTTAAATGTTGTTTTTCCTGGATTTTTATACAGTTTAAATTTCCATTGAAATCATGTGACCTTTTTTCCATTATTGAGGAATGTATTTTAAACCAAACTGAGTGACATGTCAAGCAAACCAACAACATATCTATGGTAAGAACATGGACTGTAGATGGACAATGCTAACTGCCTAGCACAATGGCACCAATTGGGAAGTTCTCATGGATGAAGTTTTGCTCCAACTCACTCTGGCTCCTATTGCTCGTCCTCTAGCTCAGTAACCATTGGTGTCCAACTCACCATTTTGGGCTTTTAGAGATCTTTGTGATCTCAGTGTTTATGTGTGATATTTTCTTTGTAAAAACAGTTACGAACATTAAAAGGATTGACCAATCAGGTGCCTTCATTTGCCGGGTAAACTCCAGCTTGCCTTAGCAACCATCTTAGCAACACATCCTCCACATGTCCTAATAAGGACATTGGCTCCAGCTATCTTATGTTCAAAACAGCTTCTTTTGCAGTGATGCTAACGCTGTGGGTGACGTCAGCTCTCTATGGGTAAGAAGCAGTTATCGGAACGCTTCACTGTTTGAGAAGCGTTCCATCGAGGAATCCACCAGGTCCATCGAGGAATGCACCTTTAACATATAATATAATATAATACGTAATCATACATATAATATATTGTAAAAAATATAAACTTCATATTAACCCAAGGCTTAATATTCTATAGGACAGTAGGAATGAGGAGCACACAGCACAAGATATAAATTGTAGGACAATCTCTATTTTTAGATTCATATACTGTCGAAGCATATAAAATACTGTATACTCTAGGATAGTGCAAGAAATAAATCTTGCACAATCCAGTGTTTGTATAAATCTCTCTCTCTCTGTTTGTCTCTCTGTCTCTCTGTCTCTTTGTCTCTCTCGCTCTTTCTCTGTCTCTGTATCTCTCTTTCTCTCTTGACATTTCACTCTCCCTCTCTCTTTCTCTCTCTCTCTCTCTCTCTCTCCGTCTCTCTCTCTCTATATATATATATATATATATATATATATATATATATGTCTCTCTCTCACAAATACCATATCAACACAGTGTCTATGAGACCCATACTCAGAACAGACATATGTGATTTCAATAATAGGTTAGGTTTTGTGTTGTTTTACTTATTTCCTTGTTTGTTTGTTGACTCTCTCTCTCTCTCTCTCTCTCTGTGTGTGCATGGAGATGGGAGTGTCCCCCTGGAGCGTTTTGACCGCATTCTGAACAGCACAGCGCAGAGACTGAGCATGCTCCGCGGGAGTGTGGAGAACCCGGCTCTCGCACAAAAGATCGACAAGTTGAAATCTGCGGCGAAGGAACAGAAAAGCCAACTGTCGCTGATGGAGCAGGACATCCACGTGATCAGTGTGGAGAGGGACAATCTGAGGGACATCGTCTTGCACCTGCCTCAGTCCTGCTCGGACATCTCAGACGCAGGACAAGTCTAACTGCTGTAGAGAAACATAAAGTCACTGGTTAAACTTACTGCAGCTCTTCATGTGGACGTTCATATACAGTACCTCTCAAACGCACTAAAACACCATGAACTTGTGTATGTTTATGTCCTGTTTACAACCATAAACATAACAATTTAGGATTTTTTTTTTTTACTGAATGTTCACTCATAGGTAACAGACAACATGTGAAGGGAAAGCAAAATGATACTTTTTTCAGTTATTTTCAGCCACAACATCTTTAACAACAATGACATTTGCTAAACATTCCTCTTGCTCCGGCTTCAATTTCTTGATATTTGGAGCCGAACCAGAACGCATTGAAGAACTTCCTTTACGATGGCAACCCTAAACCCTAAACATACCAAATGACTGCTGAATGTTTACACCTTTCCTGAGCAAATAAATGGATCCCACCAGTGTGTTATCTACTCTCAGTATATTTTCTGCCGTTCTGTGTGGACCTCAGAGCTCTGGTCAGAATGCATCGGTCACTAAACATCATCATGAAGGCCAAGAGAGGTCAGGGATAGAGAAGTTAGAAGTAGGGTTATGGTATTCAAACATGTCCAACACTCTACAGAACACTGCTCAAGCCAATATTCAGATATTACTGCAAATCAACCAAGACCCGGCTGTCTGCCCAAGAATTACACCGATCACAGACACAGACACGAGGCCGATGGTAACTGTGTAAAGCTGCAGACACCATCAACATTTCAGTTCTTTATTTTTATTGTAAAATGTGTTTGATCTGTGAAAACATGTGACCTTAGTTCTAATGTACATAATGGCAGAAGAAATAATAAACTACTAACAATTACTAAGATCGACAGCTCATCTGGAGGAATTTGTGCATGGGGCAAGTATTAGTCAAACAATACAAAAATCTGGTCTTTATGAAAAAGTGACTTGTAAATAAATAAAAATTCAGCATTAAGATGAGGACAAGGAACACATTCAACACATGAAAGAAGGTGCTGTGGTCAGATGGGACCAGAATTGAACTCTTTGCCTCAAATCCAAAATATTCCTCAGAGCACTACCCCCAGTGTCAAATTTGGGGGTGGCAGCATCATGTTATGGAGCTGCTTTTCTTCAGTGGGGTAGGGAACAGTGTCAGAGTTGATCAGAAGGACATTGGATGACAAGCTTGTGTGATTACTTCTGCAAACCCCAATTTTAAGACATTTTGGTAGTTAACAAAACCATGTATCTTTCTACTCTCACTTCACAGTTGTCTGATACTTTCTTGTGATCTCTCAGTGAAAAACCGATAGAAAAATATTTATGTTTGTTTGCGGCATGAGAAAATGTGCAGAAGTTTAAGTTGAACAGTCACTGAGTAAACTGAGCCAAAATCATACTTGTAATTGTTACGATGGGTTATTTCCGAGCCCATATAGCCCATATAAAAACAATATTATAAGTTATATCAGACCAGCTGTTAAAACACTTCTTTTAACACGTATGCTTACACCTGTACGTTTGCACAAGACACTAAAACAGCTGTTATGTCGGTGTATTAATATCCTAGTTCTTTGTCGTGTGAACTTTGTCAGCACATTCTCCTCCGCTCCATGGTTCTTCCACCTGGATTGATCAGCGATTCTTTTTGGGTTCGGGTTCAAACTACAAAACAACCAGTTCTGCTTTCACTGTTCAATGTGTTTTCTTCTTACTCCACTTCTCTCAGTCTTAAAGGTGCCATATTTCACTTTTTTCATTTTTCACAGTCCGTCCAAACTAGTCCAATTATAACCCTTTCATGCAGACCTGAGAATACACTTTTTCCAACTATGGTAATCCGTCACATAGAGCCCCATGTTGATCCAGAATCAGACCTAATTATCTAGTTCACAGTGATATACAGACCAGGGCTCCTGTTTGCGTCTTCTATGTTGGAATAACACCAGGTTTCCAGATTAGCTTTTGAGGAGATCCCATTTCAAGGTAGTTCCCATTTCCAGTAGTTCTGGAACTTTAGTGAAGGGTCATCGTCACTCGCAGAAAAACATTTGCGAGTTTTGTCATGGATTTCAAACTCGCGGATTTTAGACTCGAGGATTTCAGAGGCAGATCCCCATTTGCCTCATTCTCCATCTTCGGGCCAAACACTCTCGTCACATATTCACGCCAACAACAAATTTTCTCCAAGTTGATTTGACGCTAACACAAAAAAACCACAGACGCTTATTTACTGTCTATGGACCACACGCTGGACTCGGAGAGAGGCTGCAGCTGACCATAGATGGCGCTGATTCGCTGGTTCAGTTTCTCCCTGCTGTCAATCACCTCTTGTTTCTGTGCCTCTCGACAATGAAAGAGAAATCGCTCTGTAATCATGTTTAACCCAGAGAAAATTCAACAAGCGTATTGTGGGACCTTTAAGGGTAAAAAGAGTTAAGTTACCTGTTTGTTTTGTTGTATGCTTTGGGCTGCGTGTAGGGCAGGGGTCGGCAACTCAAAAAGTTCAAAGAGCCATATTTTACCAAAAATACAAAAAACAAATCTGTCTGGAGCCGCATAAACTTTACTGCCTTTTTTTAAAGTTTATATGAAAGCAACACAGGCTGTAAGCTGTATTAGCCTACTATCAAAATTAGTATGGCTACAAATACATAATATGCATTCATGATTATTATATATATATACATTTTCACTGTAGTGCAAGAGAGTGACGCACCATGTGACTACTCTGCTATACAATATATGCTTTAAGTTTAACTTTCCTTTTGTTGCATTGTGGTAGAATTTCATACCCCAATAAAGGAAAAAGCTGGAAAGGTATTTGTCTTAAATCAAAGATGTAAACACATTTATTTTACACATATATATGCGGAGAGCCGACATACAGTCTTGCATCGTGAGCTCTGCCGGGGCACAGCTACTGTACCAATACATATACTCAGGAGGCGCACAGCAGGGCCCCAAAACCGTGACGTCACATGGGCTGAGATTATCATGCAAACATCACCTTTTGTTTTAGCGCAAGACACAGGAAGGCCTTTGTCTTAGGTGTGAAAGGAGCAGACAGCAGAGGCCTTTGCAAACTCAGCATGGCGTCAGATGGCCGTCTCTGCATTGATTAAAGGCCCAGTCGTCCGTGTATTTGCTGCGACTGGTTCTAATTTAATTACTCTAAAAACCCTCTTTTGATAATTCAAAACCATTTTTGCATTAATCAGTTAAATACCAGAGGCATCGTAATCACATCACCTTCAAGCTTGAAACACTTAAATTATTGCTGTCCAAAGTGGACAAGAAAAGAAACATGTTAGTCAATAAAAGAAAGAGCACATTATAATAACACAATGGATCCGGACAGCGATAAGAGTGCGGACAGTGTGTCCAACATAATATGCCACGGGCCCAGGCCGGTATTAGCCTGCTACGCGGGGGTTCTGTAGTCTTTTCCGCGGAAATGCTCACGAGCGTTCAGGGGCACCGCTCCCTCTGAGCGTGTGTGAAGCGTTAGTGGTCATGGCGATGTTCGGTCTTGGAGCGGCAAGACCCTAATCGCGTTGGGGCTTTGGCCTCGGCACTTCGGGGTGTGACCTTGGGGTCCGGGGGCAAGGGAGATGGGACGTCGTGTTGTTCCTGGGGATGCGCCTCGGGAACGCTGGGATTCTCTGGGTGTTGTTGTTGTTGTGGGCCTGCTCCAGTGACGGAGTTCTCACGCCGGCCGGCCCCTTATGCTTAGGGAGCCGTGAATATGCCTGCTCCGTCCCGACCCTCGGTGTCCTCGTCTATGGCCCTCGGTGGCAGCCTCTCTGCGATCTTTAGCGGCCGTGTCCGTCACCAGGAGGATGAGGATGGGATCCATGTTTCCGTCTTGTCTCCTTCACCAGGACCCAGTCGTATGGCTCGATCTCGTGCAGAGCCGCCTGCACCGCCTGTGGCAGGGCGCTCCTGACCTAGGCAGAAATAGATTACAGTAGTGCATTCATTTCTTTACAGTAGGACAGCATGTCGTCATCACACAAAAGGTGCATGGCAGATCTCTAGGTCGGGGTCCCGCTCCCAAGTTGGGCGGTCTGGCAAAGAGGGTTTCGAATGGGTTTAGGTTTTGACCTCAGAGTGCCATTCTCTCGCTCGCAATGTTTCCTTATATCAATGCCCAGAAAGTGACCTACTTCCTCAATAATTTTGCTACAAAGTGACTGCCATTGTCACTAGAAATTATATATTATTATTATTTTATTTTTTTTTTTCCTTTCCGGGACACCCCATTGTGGCACAATTTCTGTGAGCAGAGCTTTCACCACCGCGTTGCTCGTGGCGTGTTTACATGCAAATACTTCAGTCCATTTGGACCAGAGATCCACCAGAACCAGACAGACAGTATTTCTTACCTTGGCATGGTGCGATGGGGCGGGGCATGGGCAGCCTAAGGAATAATTTGGAACTTACCCGGGTTCTGTGCCAAAGGTTTGGCAGAACCTCAATTGTGTGTAATTTAAGTTACACATCCCTCCTTTTCAGGCATGGTCTCGGCCATGTGCTAAAGGCACAAAGTCTCTGAAGAAATGCTGTGGCAAACCCGGTTTGAGGTTTACCCAGCAACCCACCAAGGCCATTTTTCGCCCACAGCTCCATCTCGTCTGGAGTAGCCAGTGCCTGCATATGGGCAGAGGCAGGTATGCCTTGTCTGCCTTGTCTGCATTCGCCCGCTGCCTGCTCACGAGCCCCAGCGACCGCGACCAGCTTGTGCTGAATGGTGTTTGGGCAAACAATATAAAAATCAGAACACACAACATAACAGACTCGGTTGTAAAATTGTCGACACTCGTATGTTCTCACACTTCCAGCAGCCGGTCTGTACCTGTGGAATCCTGCTCCAAAAGAAACAGCAACGGTTCGTTAGTTTCAAGTTATTCAAATGAAACAATGGTGTTTTATGTGTCAGTTTGTTAGTGGTTAGTTGTCATTAAATGCACTGCTCAGCCTGTTGAAAAAAAGGAAAAGCAAGAATCTATCCAGAATTTATCCAG